TGCGCAGTTGTTGTGCAGAGCAGCTGTTCAGCCCCTCCCCCTCCTGTCAGACTCTGCGGTCACATGACTCACTTCCTGCATAAACAAAGCTTGGCTTCATTCTGCCACTGGGTTAGACGACAAGAATCATTTTAAAATGGCGCAAGCTGGGGTTTTCCTTGAGCACGACCAGTTCAACTGTTCCATATGCCTGGATGTCTTAAAGGACCCTGTGACTATTCCATGTGGACACAGTTATTGTAAAGGCTGCATTAAAGGCTACTGGGACCAGGATGACTATCTGGGGATCTATGGCTGTCCTCAGTGCAGGCAGAGCTTCGCTCCCAGACCCCTGCTGGGCAGGAACACAATGCTGGCTGATGTGGTGGAGAAACTGAAGAATACCGGGCTCCACGCTGGACCGACAGCGTCTGATCCGACGCAAGCCGAACCCGGGGATGTGGAGTGTGATGTTTGCTCTGGGACAAAAAACAAAGCCTTTAAATCTTGCCTGGTCTGTCTGGCGTCTTACTGCGAGACCCACCTTCAACCCCACTACGAGTCTCCTGCCTTTCAGAAACACAGGCTGGTCTCTCCTTCAAAGAAGATACAAGAACAGCTCTGCTCTCACCATGAGAAACTCCTGGAGGTGTTTTGCCGCACAGATCAGCAGTGTATTTGTTATCTTTGTTTAACGGATGAACACAAAGGACACGACACTGTTCTAGCTACAGCGGAGATGAATGAGAAAAAGGTAATGTGGTAGACCGTTTCTAGAGTGTGAGTGTTGTTTTGTGAGTCAGTAGAAATATGACATGTTATGTAACCTGTGTTTTTCTTCCCAGAATGCTCTGGCGGAGATGCAGAGGATTTCCAAGCAGAGGATTCAGGAGAGAGAGAAGGAGCTGGCCGACCTGAGAGAGGCTACACAGATGCTCACTGTGAGTCTGTGTGTGTGTGTGTGTGTGTATTTCTCCTAACAGACTCCACTGAAGTTTCAAGGTCAACCAGTATCAGATCTTGTAAAACTTTTTTTCAATAATAGTTTATTTATCGGGGGCAAACCCCACAGCTACCTAGTTCCTTTTATATATATTAATATGCAATTTATTTTTACTTGAGATATATATATATATGTGTGTGTGTGTGTGTGTGTGTGTGTGTGTGTGAAAAGTCTTAATTTGTTAAGAAAATAAATTTGAACGGTAGTGTATTAATAAACTAAAATAAACAGACTTTTTTCTTCATATCAACATTTTAATATATATATATATATATATATATATATATATATATATATATATATACACACTTGCATGAGTGCGTGTGGCATGGGCAGCTTACACATCTGGAAAGGCACCATCAATGCTGAAAGGTATATCCAAGTTCTAGAACAACATATGCTCCCATCCAGACGTCGTCTCTTTCAGGGAAGACCTTGCATTTTCCAACATGACAATGCCAGACCACATACTGCATCAATTACAACATCATGGCTGCGTAGAAGAAGGATCCGGGTACTGAAATGGCCAGCCTGCAGTCCAGATCTTTCACCCATAGAAAACATTTGGCGCATCATAAAGAGGAAGATGCGACAAAGAAGACCTAAGACAGTTGAGCAACTAGAAGCCTGTATTAGACAAGAATGGGACAACATTCCTATTCCTAAACTTGAGCAACTTGTCTCCTCAGTCCCCAGACGTTTGCAGACTGTTATAAAAAGAAGAGGGGATGCCACACAGTGGTAAACATGGCCTTGTCCCAACTTTTTTGAGATGTGTTGATGCCATGAAATTTAAAATCAACTTATTTTTCCCTTAAAATGATACATTTTCTCAGTTTAAACATTTGATATGTCATCTATGTTGTATTCTGAATAAAATATTGAAATTTGAAACTTCCACATCATTGCATTCTGTTTTTATTCACAATTTGTACAGTGTCCCAACTTTTTTGGAATCGGGTTTGTGTATATATATATATATATATGTATGTATGTATATGTGTATATATATATATATGTATGTATATGTGTTGATATGAAGAAAAACACACACTACCGTTCAAAAGTTTTTTTTTTTTAACAAATTAAGACTTTTTTTTATCAAGGATGCATTACATTGATCAAAAGTGACAGCAAAGACATTTATAATGTTACAATAGATTTCTATTTCAAATAAACGCTGTTCTATTTAACTTTTTATTTATCAAAGATTCCATAACAGAACTGCATCCTGGTTTCCACAAAAATATTAATAAGATTTTTTATTTTATATTTTATTTGTTTATTTTGAGCAGCAATTCAACATATTAGAATGATTTCGGAAGAATCGTGTGACAATGAAGACTGGAGTATAAAATATAATATAATAATAATAAAATAACAGAATAACAGAAATAAATTACATTTCAAAATGACAGAAAAGTTATTTAAACTGGTAATCATTTTTAATATATATATATATGTATACATATACTGTAGATAGATAGCAAAATCTAACAAATTACTTTTCACAAAAAGTTTTTTTACAGTTTTTTTTCTTTTAAAGCTCTTGCCAATAATTGAAATCATAGCTGTCAGTATCTCAAATTAAATGGGGCTGTCTTCAATAAAATAATTAAAATATATTTTTAATTAAATATTTTAATTAAAATATATTTTTTATAAGATAAACAAATTCTTTGTCATATTTATATGTAAATTTATCTTGTTTTGATTGGCTACAGAGCTGGAGTCAAGACCTAGACCAACACCAGACCTCTTACACCTAGACTAGACTGAATAAGACTAAACCAAAAGATTCAGATCCAGAGTAGACCCCTTTAGTCCCAGATCCAGACCAAGACCTTTTGGTCCATAAACCAGGCTGTCCATTCTAATAAAATATAATAGTAATTAAAAAAATGCTGAATGTATTGCAGTATTCATTTAAAACACTTTTTTCCCAATTTTTTATAGTTTTATAGATTTTTTTTTTTCAAAAGCATTTTTTATATATATACTTTTTCATATAAATTGACCCTTTTACATTATAAATCTAATAATATGCTCAAAATCCTGTGCAGGTATCATACAAATTAGTTCCAGCTTTGACTGTGACCCTGACCAAGGGCTCAGTTATACAACAGCATGGTCTCAAGGCTAAGGCTGTGTAAAGATTTCTGCATAGCTGTTTTTGCAGTTTAGTTTCAGTGAACGTTCTGCTTGGATTGAGTTCTGAAACTTTGAGCACGTCTGCATAGTACATCAAACTCCTACTTCAAAAGAGCAATAAAAATCCTGTTTTCCGCCGCATGACCTCTTTCTTTAAAGCCGAAGTCACGCTTTATTATTCCACTTTTGTCTCCTCTCAGCTCTCCGCACAGACGGCCCTCGAGGAGAGCGAGCGCATCTTCACAGAGCTGGTGTGCTCCATAGAGCGCCGACGCGCTGAAGTGACGGAGCTGATCCAGGGTCAGGAAAGGGCGGCCGTGAGTCAAGCTGAAGCACTCCTTCAACAACTGGAGCAGGAGATAACAGAGCTGAAGAAAAGACACGCTGAATTAGGAGAGCTCTCGCAAACAGAGGACCATATCGCCTTCCTTCAGGTAATGCTGCCGCTTGTTCACAAATTGCTTTCTTATCCAATGTCTCAGGAGTATCCTGAGGTTAA